CCAGGTTTTCCTCAATCAGCGGGACACCGCTCCCGACCGATCTCCCAGTGCGCTTGTGTAATGCGTGATAATGTAAGGGAGGGTAAGCAAGGGTTGAGTATACAACAAGGAATGGGAAGGAAAGATCGCGCGCGGTCTGTTGCCCGTTTGTTAGGGTACTGCTTCGGCATTCACTTGATATTGATCGGTGGAACCACGGAAAGCGATCATAGCAGCCAGCCACTAGAATTCGCCTACTAATAGCGACTGAATTTGACTTAGCTGACAGACATGATGGCAAGGATCTGCCACCGTGGGGACTCGAACCTACGACCTCCCGGTCAGAAGCACTGCAATAACATCAGTTGATGCACTGAGCCCCCTCTTCCGGCGCGGATTCTTGGTATTGTGGTGAAACGTGTGTTACATACTCGTCATAATGAACACCGATTTCCTTGGAGACTTAAATGCCAGGTTGAGCAATGATCCCTCTAATGGTGATACTTGGACATGAAAACAAAATGAGTTAATACACAGCTATCTAAAAGAACAGCAAAATTTCACTGTAGAAAATTCATAAACAACAATTTAAAGAGATGGATATAGCAAAAGATACACGATTTCATCGTTAACATAGAGTGTCTACAACAGGGGAAATTTATAACGGACATGTTGATACTAAAATTGGCTGGGAACCTATCGTATTGGTTGTGGTGGCATCCAAGAGCTGCGAGATTTGCGGGCGCATGTCCCCCATTCGGTAGGGATATTTTCTTAATAATGTTTTCAATTGGATGCACTGAAAAGCCACCCTACTGCAGAGCAAAGACGTTACATCTCCGCAACAGTGCTGCCTCACACGCTTGAAGGGCAGCCAAGAACGAAACAGATGCCGGAACTGAGACAGTGCGTGTGCGGTGCGATTACACCGTCGTTATTTGAATGTGACATTGTTAGGACACGAAAAGTAAGAATTTTGAATTATAATTGTTATACTTTTTACTACAACAATTATTTTTAGCAGAACTTTTAGTACATCTTTTAGTAATTCATACTTATTAATTCGTAAATTATTAATGTGTAATTTATGCATTGATATAATAGTACACTAGATTTAGAAATGATAGTCTTTTTCATAATGTTTGTTTATTGAAAACCATAAAACACATTAACAGGATAATTTTCGCTGGCATATGTATACGCATACAATGAACTTTTTTGCACATACATTTGAAAGGTTTTAAGGATATCAGTCGCCGATTTACTTTTCCGTATACATACGTATTATACGAAGTAATCAATGTATTATAGTAATACGGATATAGTAGTAGGGAAAGTTATTTAATGCTGCGGAAGGTCGAAATGGCGAAATCTCGATTTCGAGATTTCAGAGGTCATACACGTTTTGGGGTTTCTCTGATACCGAAAAAGTGTTTTTTATAAAACGTCCGCCACTCCGCCACTCCGCCACTCCGCCACTCCGCCACTCCGCCACTCCGCCACTCCGCCACTCCGTCAGTTGTATGTGAACAATACTAGTGCCTAAACTATGCGTACGATTTTTTCAAAACTAAATAAACCC